TATTACATTTAATATTTCGAGGAAATCACTCCCACTGTACTCGGCTAGAGATTGGTTCGGTTCAAGGACTTTAAACTACAAGGATGGCCAGATCTCGTATATTTGTTAGCATGACCTTGGATCTATATGACGTCACAGCATGNTATCCGGATTTGAACTTGAATTAATGAAAATGTTCCACGGAGTTTTAGGAATAATCAAATTAGGTTAGTTGTATTTTAAATTTTCAAAGATATTTTAAAAATTTATATATTTATCAGAGTTCGTAATTATTTGTTTTATTAGTAACCAGCAGATATGTCCGGCATTGGCCATCCAAACAGGAAAATGGCTAAACGTTGAAATGAAAATCTTATTACAAATTTTGCTATTTTAACTTACAATTGTTATGTTTGTAGCAAAGTGTTGAAGAGAACAAATCAGGAATGTGTGGAATGTCCGGACTTCATGAAGGTCTATATTTTCTCCAGAGTACCAGAGAATAAGTATAAAAAGTTTTGTTCGGATCGGACAGTATATTTAGGAGTTAATTAATATAATTTTTAGATAAATCGGTGAAATAAAAATTTTGGTGACTTTTCGCAACTTTGGATATCAGAGCGCTTTTTGTATAAATACCTGCAATGAAGTTTCTAAGAAAAGCGATTACCAGTTGTTGCAGCAATTGTGTTTGTACAGTGGGTGATCGGTTAACGAACATAATCCGTTCCAAGACTTTGTTCGTTATCCGAATTGTTCGTTAACCGATTATTGATTTACCATAGGTTTCTATGGGAATTTAATCAATTTGTTCTGGAGACCCCCAAAAATAAAAAATATATACTTTCTTATTACGTTTATTTATATGTAATAATAAAAATACATACACACACAGTCTTTCATTTTTATTAGTCATGTTTTTTTCCCTTTGAAATGGTTAAAGAATCTGTCTAATGTCGATTGCTTTTCCCTCTTCTTCAGGATTTTTCGTAAGTAATTAATAGCGTTGCAATTGTAGAAATCCCCAAGCCTCAACCTGGTTTGGATGCCATTCTAAGACCATTGTTCTGACATCCTCCCACTTCTTCAAA